CCACTAACTTCAAACTGTATAATCGTTCCATTTTGAAAATTAATCACACAACCGCTCAGCAAATTATAATCTATAACTATGAAGAGATATTCTCATGTTTATTGCACCTACACAAAATCAGGATAACTAACATAAGGTACACGCAAGAAAATTACTGCAGTGCAGTGAAAACAACGCTAGTATCATGAAAGGAAAATATTCAATGGTAATAACATAAATGATAAATGCAAGAGATTTTAAAATCAGCATAACAATGATGGGAAAAGAGACTCAGATGGCCCACAAGTGGTGGGAATAACTTATCAGTTAATTAACACGATCTTGATTCAGGTGGCATGGATATACACACTGATAGGTATATATATCTCTTGGTATATATACATATAGGGCGTTGATTTTTTAAATTTAGCTTCAGCTATTACAATATTTATTTCTAAATTGAGGGTTTTTGCGGTCACAAAAACCTTCGTACAGTTGATAGACCTTGAGCCTAATAAACTAACTGCTTCAGGCAAAAACTAATGGCACTCCAACCTGTTGATGCTACTACTGCTCTCCCATCCTCCTCCTCAGCTCTCGTCTCGCCATCCACAGCCACAAATTAGTAGTGGTAAAGTAATACATACGTCTGACTATCACGATATAAAAAGCTTCGGACAATTAGGTATAAACTTTGGTAAATGATACCGAAAACTGGCTTAAAATTACACAAACACTAGGTAATTTATTACAAGAACTATATGTATAGTTTATGCATGTTTTAGTGTTTGCTCACGTGCGTTTTTAAACAGAAATGTAAAAAGTTACAGCACACTGTCATACAGGATGTGACTTGCCCAAAGCATGACCTATTGCTCATGCTAAATTTACATTTGATCTTTCTGTGGTTAACAGAAATTATGCAATTTGATGTCTAGTAGCTACTGAGGAATTCATGTACCTAGTCAAATCATGTTTAGGTATTTTAAGAGCTATAACTCATATAATTAGTTATTACACTATCTTTTTTATATTTTCAAGTCAATTTATGGGCCAGCTGCAGATAATCACGGGAAAACAATAGGTCATTCACTTGAGTAGGTAATAGTACAAAATACCCACAAGATGAGACAGACAAATGGACGACGCTTCATCCGCGCAGTGACTTCATCGCTACTAGATAAAAGACCCCGGGTGATATATTTTGATGAGTTTTTCTACTCCCGTAGCCCGGCCTTGAGCCAGGCTCGTGTGGTGCTTGCCTGGTCAACTAGGCTGTTGCTTCTGGTGGTCTGCTGACCCACAGTCATCAAAGCCTGGTTGATCTAGCACCTGGTGAAGATACTTGTCTAATTTAACAGAATTTCTGCCTATTTCTTAGATTATCAACATAGCGGAGATACATAATAGTAACAAAAACCTCTAATAGGTTTATGTTAGAGGCCACTTTTTTATACCGGATAACAAGATGATTTAAGTGTTGACAGGTGTAATTATGTAGGGCCGGCAGCATTCCCTGCCCTCTTATGTCACGCACATCTGGTTTGGTTTCCGGTTGTATATATGTGTACCACCGCTGGCTAGCCAGCTTCCCAAAGGCCCTTCATTGATACAGGCTGACTATCTACTCTGGCATCATCGGGACCTGTAGGTTGCATGATTAGTGATTCTGTCGGATTACAGAGTGGTTAGGTTAGAATACATTTAACCCAACAGCTATCCACCTCATGCTGCCTTTAAAATACCCCATAAATCAGTACAAACTGGTTAACCCGTTCACTGTCGCGACCCCAGCTAGCAAACTTGCTCCCATTGTCGAAGAATTAAAAAAAAATATTCTATCTCACGAAATTATAGACAATCTTTTTCCGAAGGTAACGAAACCAAAAGTACTAATTTTGATGGAAAACTTAGGGAATTATGCTCTCGTAAAGTTAGCAGTCTCGGAGATATTTATGCATCGGCGATTTCGCCCACTTTACACCCTATTTTTGGCTAATTCCATTGTCCGGTCGACCAAACTCATAGCTATTTTGCTAGTATTCCTTCTATTCTGTCGATTGGGAGTACAAGAAATCGCCCATTTACCTATTTCATCTACCCAATAGTGTCAGAAATCGGTAATTGGTCCAATTTCACAAATTTCTGATGCCAATTTCAAAAGTGTCCAGAATAAACAATGCAAACATTCCTGGCACTAAAATAACATTTTCTCTGTTCAATAGTCATGTCTCCAGGGTCCCTCTTATTTTATGGTTGCTTGCAATGTCTGAATTCTTATTCACACAAAAAAATTGATTTGCTGTTATGCAGTCTACTGCATTACTGCAATAACTGTATAAATAATGTCAACCCATTCATGACCGCGTATTAGACCGTCCAGTTGGACAGGTATTGGATGTGTCGTGAATTGTTTCCTCTTGAACACCGGCAAAAATCGAACATTTCCAGTACTTTGAGCTCAATTTCAAGGAACTTTCCGTTCTCAAACCAATCAAAATCACCTCTATTTCTGTAATATATCTTCCATTCTATGAAATGAGACCAAAAAACCGAGAATACAATCATAAAAACCATACGAAAACACATTGCAAAGTCACTGTTTTATATCAAAAAAAATGGTCGCAGTTTTTTCTCGTATGTACTACGTGCTGCAGGATTTTTTTTATATAGTACACACTTACCACATGGACGAATTCTTTCATATCTAGGCTCAAATTTACTGGTCACAGCTTGAGTGAGCTGAGTTCATGGTGTCATACTACAGGCCCGACAGTGACTTCAAAGTCGTTATACAATGGGACCGACAATGAAAGGGTTAATAAATTTAACCAAACTGAAAAGCTGAAATTTACAACTCAACATCTTCACTTACACATAACCTAAACCACTTCATCAGAACTTGATCTAGTTCTGAAATTTTTCCTTCCTTCACTGTTTTCCTTTCACAGAGTAATTTTTCTTTGTTTCTTTATGTCATCAACTGCCAAAGAGCCAGTATTGCATAATTCACACAAGCTTCTCACAGACACACCGATGTCGAGTTTTTTCAGAAGTTCAACCATATCTTTTATGGACAATGTACGGTGTTCGTGCTTTACACAACGAGAAGCATTTCCTTTATTCACTGGAGCCATGGCTGGGGTTAAAGTGAGCAGGTTATAACAATAAATGGAGAAAAACAAATTTGAATGGCTAGCCTATGTTTTCAAGTGACACCAACAATGTGATTATCAAATGGTATACAATACCGACAGGTTGGTAGATAAGACACATAGGCAACTTTATTTCGAGTCAAAATAAAGTTGCCTAAATGTTGCCTATGTGTCTTATCTACTGACACCAACAATGTTTATGCAGCAAGTAGCGGCAGGTTGGTGAGGCGACCCGGGAAATTTGAAATTACGCTAGCCAAAATTAGTGCCGGATTAGCGATGACCCGCCTGTATTACCTTGCTCACACTCCAATAGCATGTCATGTCTCATAAAATATTCTCTTCACTCTGATCTAAAAGACATGTTTGCTGAATTCCATCTCAACAGGTTTCACACCTAAAGAAATGACACATGTAGCACAACAAACATTTTGCTCTGAAACTTTAGAGTGAAAAGTTGTCAAAGTAAAAAATTTGAAATCTGGGGCTGCTACTGTGAAAAGATCTTTTTCCTGGGCACACTTCTCACGCCAATTCTTTCCGATTCTTATATAGCCTACACCAGGGGTGGGCAAACTTTTCAGTGCAGGGGCCACATTAGCCATTTGCGGGAAATGTATTAATGTTCCACAATATTTTTGGCTTTGAGTAGTAACTTTTTTTTTCATTTTTACTGACATTTTCTCCCCAAATAACCTGAGTACATAACTTGATCTTGGATGGGCCTCATGAAGCCCGCAAGCCGTAGTTTGCCCACTGCTGGCCTACACAGATGGAGACAAATATAATCCTTTGCATTCATTTTTGTCAGTTTTAAAAGGAATCTGTGGTCTGCATCTGCCTACCCCTCATAATCTTAAAGTGTTAAACCACATTATCACTGGAGGAACTGATGATGTGGTTCACCAAGCAATGTCAGGGTGCCATTTCTCCACTAAAAAACAACTCTTCAAGTTCAACAGTGGAAATTTTGGCATTGCAAACCTTCTCATTTGGTGAAGAAAATTCCTCTGCCAGTTCCTCTTCCTGCTCCTTGAGATCTTGGAGTTGTTTTGAGTTCCTTGCTGTGGACATTTATTAACTCGCATCCTCCTGGTTTACCTCTAACCCCATAGACCCACCTAGGGAGATGATTTCGTGACCCACTAGCTCTGCCTCAAAGTCTCTTCTTGCCACCGAGTCAGGCCACAACTTCCTTCTTAGGGAAACATCTCCCAAGGCTTTAATCAGACTTACACATGAGAGGATGTTGAACTGACTCTTCCAAAAGTCTCTGAGGGCTAGGTCTGTGCCAGAGGTCACTTCAAAGCACTTCTGAAACTAGCAAGGATTTTGACGCCAACTGAATTCTAAACAAGCCAGCATGTTCGGACTCCAGTTTGTTCAAGGTCTGGTACATTCAAACACCAAGGTTCTACTTTATGTCAATTACCCAAGATAATCATCCCCCCTCAAAGCATTTCAACACTCTCCCTTAATACATATGGGAAATTAAGAACAGACCCCTAGCTGTCTTAGGGGAACTGGATAAGTTCTTCAAGTTAGTTCCTGATCAGCTGTGCCATGGCCTACACTGGACTGTGTGCAACCAGCACCAACAGTCTAGATGATCAAGCCATCAACCAGGAAGCCTGATTTGGGACTGTCATGGGGATGGTGACCTCTGAAAGCCATCTGCAGGTAACTCTACCCCTAGTTATGTATTGTACAGTACATAAATTCACCATTGTATCACACTACAGGCATTGTAAGAGAGCAGAGCTTGCTCTATTTCTCATATTAATACTAAATAATTTTATGTGGAACAAGGACAAGCATACATATAACATATACTGCATTTAATAAGCACTTTACAGCAATACTCACCTAATTCCTCAACAAGACGGAGCATAACGCCACCTATGTGCAGATCACTCTTCACTCTGAGGATTCTTTCCACTTGCAAATCTGTGACATGGACGTGTAGCTCCCATGACCCATCCCCGATCTTCTGCCCATCGGCCATCATCTTGCTGGCTGTATTGCTTTTGAAATTACAATGAAAGTACCAGGAGCAACGTGGGAATTCCAAGTAAACTTCAGCAACAATGTGAGTTGTCAAGCACTGTACTCATAATTCAAGCTGTGTTCCACAAGTGGTAGGTTTGGGCAATGCAGCCCACACTATATATAATGTCACTGATCAGCTTAAACCACTTTATTGAGTCAAATTTGGATATACACTACTGTATAACTGAAGAAAGATAATCATTAGTCATAAATCTTAGGTAAATATTACTATCACAAATCTGCCCATGAAATACCCATGTCACTAAAAAACACTTAAATATTTTCCTCAGAGTAAGAACCAAAGTACATATACAGTACGTACTTGATATCATAATATGTCAAGTCATGGATATTTTGAAATACCTTATGTCCAGTTAGGTACAGTACACTAATTTTTCCACTATATGGCATACAGTGATCACTCTGTTATCAGATTACCCTATTTATGGTATACAATACGAACAAGTTGAAGAATATTCCTCATGAGCAACACTTGGATATCTTTATTGGTGAACATTAAAATGGTATAAAATACCGACAGGTTGTTAGGTAAGCCTATTGTGTAGGCGAAACGTTTCGGAATAAAGATACCTAACTGTTGCATATGTGTCTTACCTAACAACATCTTTATTGGTGAAATGTTTTGCCTACTCAACAGGCTCCTTCAGTCAAATACAGGCAAATTTAACACTACATACAGCAGTAATAGCAAAAGTGTTGATGTTATCAGTGTGTCTGCCTGAAATGAACTAATACAATGGCTGGTGCAGAATGTGACATCCAGAGAAGAATAATAAAGTCACTATAGCTACAGAAGACAGAAAAGTTGCTGAATGTGTAGTTTGAGGAGGTAAAAAAGGTTATCCCACTTAGTGCTCAAAAAATAAAGCACAATGTCATATTCTACAATAAATCCGTGTATGAGAAGGAAGTAGAGCATACACAAGTGTGTACATTTAGTATTGGTTTAAAATTTTTAGAAGGGCACAACTGACTTTGAACTGTAAAGCTTAGTGGTATGTCAGCTTATCATGATATAGCAGGAAATTTCCCTTCCGACTTCACAAATTATTCTGAAGCAGTTACAATCCTGACCAAGAGTTTAATGCTGATGACAGTGTTACGCTGAAAAGGTATGCCATCAAGAATTTACATTAGCAAACAAGAAAAATTTGCACCTGGTTTCAGAGCAGCTAAGGATCACTTCAGCCTGCTTCTCTGTGAAAATGCAACAGGTGATTTCAAGTGCATGCCTCTACTAATTTATCAAGGAGAATCCCCATGCCTTATTTGCCTGTTATTTGGCAGTCTAACAAGGCAACACAGATGAGTGAAATGCTGTTTGTTGAATGGTTCAGCCATTACCTTACTCCAGCAGTCAAGATGTATAGTATCTTACATTCAAGGTTCTCTTGGCTCATGATAATACCCATAGTCATCCTGAAATCTTGCAGTCTGAGGACCTAAATATGAATGTTGCTTTTACTACGCAATGTATTTCACTACAGCCACTTGAACAAGGTGTTAAGACATTTAGGTGCCACTGTACATGCAAGATCCTGGAAAAACTTATTGCAGCAGTGGCTGACAGCTCCAACATTGGTGTGCCAGAGTTCAGTCATAAATTTAACATATACATGTGCTTATGCACATAAGATGTCATAAATGCATGCTGGTGTCATTATAACCTGGGTGAATTATTTATGTAGTTTCCCTCATTATATAAGGAGTCAATCCAGGAAATTGCAGCTCTGGCAATGACTGAGACATGAGGATTTTGAAGGTATGAATGAAGACATACATGAACTGTTAGTAAAGGATGATGAACAATCTGTAGAAGAAATGTTCAAGAAACTGAATTCCCACAAAGAAGCAAATAATAATAGAAGATATAGAAGAACCTGTAAACAAGCAGTCATATAATACTGCAAGTTATGTAAGTATTTCCATGTCATTGGTAAGGTTTCATTGAGCAGGATCGTGACACATCTATAAGCACTGCTCTAAGGTGGAGCCTGAAGCTGCTGATTATACATTATTGGCACAAGCTAAAATAAACCAGAGGCACATAACAGAACACTGAAGCCCCTAATACAATAGATACTGACAATGCTACATCCAAATCCACAAGCAATGATAACTACAATCTCGAAACTAGCCACAGGTACAATGTATGGCAAGATAGACTATCATTTTATACAATGTCATATTTAAAAAACAGTGATTCAGCAAATTTTAAGGTGTCTGGATCGGAGCCCTATTTTTTTCCCTACGTTCTTCACTTCATATAACACTTTCAGGTTAAGTCGTAATCGAAGCTATGCCGTAATTTTGCATCTGTCATGTATTGAAAACATCATATATTGCATCTTAATCAATGGTATACTGTAAGTTACACTGACTTTACTTGGTTATGGTATAAATATGGTATATACCTTTTTTTTTTATTCCAATTTTTTTAATATTTTGGTCTTCTAAGGCCACATACAATGAATACTTATATTACAATCATTTCAGAGTGTAATACTCCTCAAAACATGGAAATTATTCACATTGCTGGACTTTACTGGATTACCCTGGGTTAAATATACTTATGTGCTTTGTGGCTGAATTCCACTGTTAGCATCATGATACTCCAATAACTCTGGACTGAATAAGCCACCTTTGTGTCACCTGTACACCCTGTTTGCTGGTAGGGAAGCTGGTTGTGAAACAGCAGCTCCTGGTTCATACTAGTAAGTCAGACAAACAGTCATTACCTGAGTAGTTAACCATGATACATTGTGAGGACTCTGCTGGCCTTAGATTTTTTTTCAAATGTATGAAAAGATGGGAGACCCTAAGAGCTATGCTGTCAAAAACATTGTAGATGGCAGATTTGAGGGTACGAAAAATTGTGCGTACTAGTACGTTGGACACAGACAGCATTTGCGTACTTCTGAAATGGAAGAGAATCTTTTTCTAAAGGTAATGACACCAAAGGTAAAAAAAAGTTGATGGGAAACTCATGGAATTACTCAGGCGCAAAGCTAGCAGTCTGAGTGGAACTTACTTATTGGCGATTTTGCCCACTTGAGTTTTTTTTTAAATTAGCTAATTTCAATGCTCCATTCTGTCAAATTTTTAGCTCTTTCACTAGTATGTCTTCTATTCTATCAAATGAGCATAAGAAACTAACCATTCAACTATCAGAACTACCCCATGGCAGTCAATTTTATAAAAAATTAAAAAAAAAATCAAAGTTAAAAATATATAGTAGACTGTCATTTAAGAGTTTATTTGGCACAATTTGGTTTTAGCACGACTGAAAAACTGGCACAATTTTATGCAACACTTAGTAAAATTAGCTTTACACGGTTCCGTTTGTTAGTGCGGGAAAAATTTCCCCAGCTCAAGCTGCCACCTTGTTGTGGTTCAGCACATAAGAATGAGGTAAATATGAGTTTGTGTGATGACCAACTGATTTACTGATTGACTGACTGACTTACTAACTTGTCTGGCTTACTAACTTGTCTGACTGACTAACTTCACTGATTTACTGACTTACTTACTGACTTAATTAACTGACCGACTGACTTACTGACTTAAAGTTAAACTTTTTCATTGAAGAAGACCCTGAAACGGTGTCTAGAGCAGCTGAAGCCCTACTGTCAGTTGTATAATGTACTGCTGGGTAAAACAGAACTGAAAGCCATTACAGAATTTATGCACATTCGAGTACAATCATCGACTTTAGTACCAAAACCTCTACCATCCACCTCAGCCCAATAGGGCCACAGCATAACTCTCCACAATCATCCACAAAGACCAGCACCCACAATTTAGGTAAGAAATACTATTATTTCTGTTGCATTTGTAATCTTAAGCAGTGAAAACTACATAATACATTGCAACAATGAACTACAATTACATATTCACTTTTATTTTTTTAAGATCTGTTGGTCTAAAAAAAGTTGTTTGGCTTTTTGGGGGCCCCCAGGAACATAACCTTATTTTTCCCACAAGTGCTTCAGTTCTTCTAACACAGCTTTACCTAACACGGCGTTTTCAGGAACGTAACTACACCATTAAATGACGGTCTACTGTACTCCAAAATAAACAATGTAGACATTTCAGGCACTAAAATAAAATTTCCTATGTTTATTGATCATCCCCAGGCTTCTCCTATATTATACTTGCCTTTTAGTTTGAATTCACACAAAAACTAAAAAATTTACCCTATTTCTCAGATAATAAAATATAACTAGGAAGATAAGGTAGGAAAAAGAGTTTGTTCAGAATTTTAACCCAGAGGGTTAGCCACCCAGTATAACCTAATAAAGTCAGACCAGGGGGGTGTGATAGGGGTGAAGGGAGGCCTCACCCATCCTCTGGAACATCAGCAAAAATATAATGTTTCTGCTATTTTGAGCCCAATTTCAAGCTGCTTCCAGTCCTCAAACCAATAAAATCATGTCTATTTCAGTAGTATATCTTCCATTTGATCAAATAATAGCAAGAAACAGCTAATAAAACCATAAAACCATCCTATAAAATACCTCAAAGCTCCTATTTTAAACAAAACACAAGGTCAGAGTTTTACTTTCCCATCATGCACCACATGGAGCAGGACTTCTTTTTTTTACAACATGAACACTCACCACACAGACCCATTCTGTCACATCTAGACCAAAATTTACTGCTCATAGCTCATCTGAGTTAGCTGTGCTCAAAACATAGATCTACATGAAGGACCCTGGTATCAATGATGTAGATCTACGTGACAGACACAAGGGTTAATGGTACTAATATATCTTTTTCATACTGGTGCCTAAGATAGGTAGAAAACTTTAACTTCCATAACACAATTATAAAATATATTTAACCCACTTTGCTTTGATTTATAGTAATTTATTTTATAATTATTGAAGTTTAAATATTTCTAAGCCCTCTGGACAAAGTTAAAAGTTAAGGTTGAATATTAACCCTTTCAGGGTTGGCAGGCCCTCTCCTAAACTTGTCCAAAGGGTCGAAAATTTTTTGGAAAAAAAATTATTTTTTCTTATGAAAAGATAGAGAATCTTTTCAAAGATCATAATGACACCAAAAGTATGAAATTTGATGGAAAACTTAGACACTTTGAGCCCTATTCTCGGCCAATTCCAGTGTACTAGTCGACAAAAATCATAATCATTTTGCAAGAAC